CACGAAGATGACGAAGCTGTGGCTCATCCAAGACAGCACCTTCCGGAAGAAGTCCGGTGACCAAACAGGCGCTGGACCGAGTCGGGCCCGTGCACCTGCCCCTGCCCATGCCCCCGCTCCCGCTCGGGCCTCACTGCAGTCCATAGCCGATACACTGAATCGGCTAACCGTCACCGTGGATGGCATGGGCCAGTACCTGGAGAGGATGGACTCGTCGATACAACGCCAAGGCCACGACATGAGGGCGTACTTCCGCGGCATCAACTACGTCCCGCCGCCCTTTGACAGCACCTTCCTCGGCCAAAACTATGAAGGCGAGGACGAGAACGACAACTCCTATGCTCCGTTCTCCTCCCCCGACGAGGCCGACTTTGAGGACGCGGTCGACGGGGATCCTATGGACGTCGAGGACGACGAAGAAGACGATGACACCGAGGATGAAGACGTCGCTGCCTAGACTCTCCCTTCTTTTCCTTTCTTACTATGATTGTTTTTCTTTAAAATTTCCATTCCGTTGTATTCTGCATCTCCCTTTTCTTAAGCAATAAAAGTAAACTTCCAAGTTCTAAAGTTTACTTTAATTCTTTTTGTTAATGTCAAAAGGGGGAAGATATCAAGGTTATGCACAAATTGAGGGGGAATTTTTTAATAAATTGGCATCTATTCAGGGGGAACTTTTTTTAAAAAAAAAACAAATCCTCATATGCATAACCTCATCTCGTTTGCCATTATCATAAAGTTTTACCATAAAGTCTCTGACATAATATCCTCCATAATATCCTTCTAATAATTAGACATCATTCAATCATGTTCATCGTTTGGATCATGTTAGGAACTCAAGTTTAAACCACATAATATAGTACTATAATTCTTCTAATCCAACCCGTCCGATGATTTCGTTTGGTTGATACACTTATCATATATATATATATATATATATCTATATATATATATATATATATATGGTGTTATTCATTCATTAAAAATATGCATATGTATCTATTAAGAATAGGCAACTAAAAGCTTCATCATTGGGAATTTTAGTAATTTTATTTATATGCAATAACAGATGCACACCAAACAACTTGGTTGAACACTCAAAGATGATTTATTATGGATCTATTTGAAATCAGATTTAGTGTTTAGGTTTAGAGTTTCAAAAAAGCTGTCAAAGGATAGTGTTTAGCTTTAACGTTTTCATAGTGAAGATATGCCACTTTAAAAAAATTCAAAGCACTAAGAATACTAAAAATGGCCACTTATATAGATACAAATACACACAATCTCGAGCATATATCTGAACACGTAAAGTAGTTACCATTTAGTAATGTCCTATGTTTTTTTACAATGAAACATTTGGATAAAAAATGTCTCTTCTCTTAAAATAACATGTTTTGGCATGTAATCTTGGAATTTTGATTTAGCTCTAGATGGTCGGCACTTCATTAGTTACTGAAAAATTATAATCCACAGTCATTAATCTGTCTCCCAGGTGATCAAAGTGAACATAGAAGGGATGCCATACTTAGACTCGTGATTAACAATGCAGTCCCAGTGTATACTCCTACAACGTCCACTGCTTGCTAATGACCCCATATATAGAGAGAGAAGAACGTAATTAAATTAAAAATTAATAAATGAAGAAGAATAGATAAAATGTATAGGGTGTGAAACATGATGGCAAAATAAAGGAGTGGGAGATCTACAGAGGAGTTTAATGAATCTGGAGGTGAAGTAATCTGGCAAAATTAACAATTTGTAATTAATGACCACTAAAACTACCGCTGCACTGAAAACTTCAAGTAGAGTCCATAAAAACAGTAGGAGATGTATCTAATTTAATATGGGGTAATTGAAGAGAAACAAATGGTGGTTGTTGCGTGATAATTAAGGATATCTACGTGGAAGAATAACGCAAAGTGGAAGTCAGTAGTAAAAGCAGTGTTGTATATTATAGGAAAACAACATGTGTATGTAATTATGTATTAATACACCAAATGTGCTCACATTGTACTTTAGGGCATAGGTAAGAGTGTTCCCCCATTAACATACTATTTAGCCAAGGAATGTTCTCATTTAACAATACAAATTTTCAATACAATGACTATGATTCATATGCCATGCTTATATAACATAATATTGGCAAGAGTGAGGGCAATATGGCATTCAATTGCTGATGTTGCACCATAAATTATTTTATTTCATAATAATGGAGCCTCAAAATAAAATGTCACTGACCTTTTTTATTTGCCATCCTAAACAACCTCAGGGCACTTTAAGGGCGCTTTAACTGTAATTACTAAATCACACAGTAAACCAGATTAATAAATCCCCAGTGCTTATCATGATATTAGGGACATTAATCACAAAGAAGCTCTGAGAAAGAAGGGGGGCTTCAAAAGTAACATCAATCAAAGCACCAAGCGATAAGCTTCAACAAATACAGTAACTACCTGATTGAGGCTTTCTCGGCAGCCTTAGGTTCAACAGGTTTGTTATTGGGAGCAGCTCAGAGAATCATACCCAAGCTTTGAAGATCCATATTAATATCTTAGGGAAAAGAGATGAAGATCAATCGGAAGATCTATCTCTTCAGATCCTCCCGCTAAAGAATACCCATCGGTCCTGGTGAAGTATTTGCCAAATAGCTTTTGTTAGACGACAACCTTAAGCTAGAGTCGACAGAGTGAAAAAATGCATGGGCACTCAAAAGTCCAAATAACAAATTCAATGTGGCAAAGAATCAAACCAATAAACCCAAATTGTTATTAGGTTGAGGCTCTGTTTCATAAAAAATGTTGTTAACTGGGCGCACCATACTTTTTGAATATTTTTATGACTTTTTAACACAAATTCATTGAATTAGATAATTGTTATAACATGAATTAGATTTTAAAATAAATTGAGTGGATATCTCTTGATATTAAAAAGAAAATAAAGTTTATTGCTATTCAAAAATACGTTACACCTGATACCGAATGGTAAAGTAGTAAAAGGAGATACCTGATGAAGAATTCATGTGTCGATAGGTGAGGGATGGATAGAAGGCTTACAACTTTGCCGGTAAGGAAGAGAAGACCGATGAAATTCCATAAACAGTGAAGGCCTTTGGCTAATCATATGGAACATAAGAAGAGCTCCATATAACAATCTAATAAAAAAACCAAGGGAGGTCATTATGATTGAGAAATTAGAAGAGGAAAAGAGGCATATTTCTAGCTATAAATTACCTGAGTATTGCATTGTAAAGATCACAGACATTCCCTCAAGAATATATGCCTCATATGTGTCCAAACGAAAACCTTACTATGATACAAATGGTGAAACCATTGACAACTAACTCTTGAAGACAACTTCATCCATATACTTATCAAGTTGTTACTTAATGAGAGCACATATGAAGTCATTCACTAACGATATGCATGCATAATACTCTCTTCATATTATTTTTTTGGTGAAACTAAGTTCAATGAACTTACCAGGATACCAGTCGTTGCCCCCTCTTGATAGGACTTGTCACACATCTGGAATTCTAAGCCACCGTTTCTTGTGTTCTCTCTTTTCTTTGGGATTCCTAAAGGGGCAGTTAGATCCTGCAAACTAAATATAAAAGCTCCAATGTGCATCCAGTCTGCCAAGTTAAGGGATTCTTTTTTCTTTTTAGAATGAAGCTAAATATTAACAATGAAAAAGTAATTAAGATTAAATTTTAGGATGATTCACCAATTTGCTTGTCTGTAGAGCGAAACATGTAAGAATGACTACCATCTGTCATTTATTGAGCAATCCTTCTGATTTTTTAAGTAAACGATTACTTGGCAGGGAACATGTAAGAATGACTACCATCATGTGAGTAAATTTTTCCTCGTGTTTTTGTATTTTTCCTTTTGGCTACCGAATAAATACAGGGTATATTATTTCATGATGCAACTTACTAAACCACACACAATAAAAATATGATAGTGACTTACTAAATCAGTAAACCATAACTTAATGCCCCGAACAATCAACCCCTAAAAGTATGAACTTTTGCATTATATAGTAATATTATTCAACTGCTAAGGACCATTTTCAGATTTAATTTTTCTTTAGAACCCCCCGGTGAATTACAAATATTGCTCATTGCCATGCACCGGAAACCATTCTGTTAATGAAACACTCCTACAGTGCAATTTTTTCTTGATTCACACCTCAAACACACTAAAAAATGATGATATAATGGAACAACTTGGTGCAAGTATTATGAAAGATTTCCCATCCAAATACTTTGCAGCTGCAGTCCATGTGTCCTATTCATACCCCTAGAAAATATAAATGTATATCATATTCAAGTTAAAAGCATAAGAACAATTAGGAAATAATAGAAGGAAAAATAAAATAATGTTAAATCAAAAGTGAAATTGCTAAGAGTCTAAAACTAAAACACCTTATGTGTCAATTTACAATCAGGATTGGAGCATGATCACTAAAATATTTTGTGCAAACAACAAATTTTCAGGGTTCATGGATGTAAGGATACTTTCCAGAAAATTGACTCTAATGAACATTCTGATTTACAAAGACGTGAATTCTTCTTTTTGGGTGTCTGGCCAGCTTATTACCATTGCCAAGGCACACCTATCTACAAAATAGTCTAGCAACAAAAAAGCCAAATAAAACCAGAAATCAACACAACAATAGCAATATGATTTATCATTCACCTCCATTTTTACTACTACCTACCGCTTAAATAAAATTAAGGTATATTACCGTTTACTTATGGGTTAACTTAACAAACAACACGATGCAATAATGTGAGTAAAAGGAAATGAACCAAATAGATACTAAATGCAATAGAGTTATAAGCTATTGCTTTAACAGAGATTAAAAAAATTTAGTGCTGCAGAATCAAAGCATACACAAAACAGAATCAAATGTAGAAGGAATAATTAGGAACAATTAAAAGCATATTAGGAACAATCAAATGCAGAATCAAATGTATATCATATTCAAGTTAAAAGCATAAGAACAATTAGGAAATAATAGCATATTAAATGTAGAAGGAACAATTAGGAACAATCAAATGCAGAATCAAATGTATATCATATTCAAGTTAAAAGCATAAGAACAATTAGGAAACTATAGAAGGGAAAATAAAATAATGTTAAATCAAAAGTGAAAAGGAGTGAGAATTTTTAGGTAATATTCATTTGGGGTTTAGGTAAACTCAGAGAAAGAGATTCTTTGGTGTTTTACTCATATTCATACTATAAAATTCAATAAAAATTGAATAAAAGAAGAAGACCCACAGGTAAAGGATTTACCTTGCTGCTACGTTGAAAGAAGAAGAATATTGGTAGTTGTACTTGCTAAAGGTGGTGGTCTTGCTAGACAGACGCCTCAATCTCCACCGTCAATTGTCGCCGGAATCGATCACAGGGGTTAGGATCAAAACCCTAGCCCAACCTAAACATCGTCTTCATTAGTGCGAGCTGTGTCTTTGTTCGTGCAAATATGACCGAAGTCGTTTCAAAAAAATCAATGCAGAAATTGAAGTGCAAGGGTAGAAGAATTGATGACGGGGGTGCAAGGGTGGAAGATTAAGAGACGGCAGGGGTGGAAGAATTGATGAGCGGAAGTAGAAGAATTGAGGTGCTGAAAGGTTTACGTTTTAGATCGGAAACGAAAGAAAGGCAGGAAGTAAAAATGTAGAATCTAGTCAGCATAATTATCTCAGTCAGGTGCTTAGTCACATTGTACACTTGTCAACACC